TAAATGAACTGACACAAACGATAAGATAAGAATATAAATCAGTGGATATACATTATCCTGTATGAGGTTTTCTTACTCTATCCTCTAACTCTATACAATAATCGTCATGAGATAGAGTTTACAAAGAATAATATTTTGTTACCTGGTCATTGACATATAAGTGAGAACCTTTACCTTGAAGATGGAGAGTGAAATCTCAGACTATCCTTTTATTATTTGATGAGTGCACCAGAGCAAAATGAAACTTGATCGATAGGCTAAGGTTGATCATAACCTATGGCTAGTGACATGGTTAAACATGATGGAAAGCATCATTCAAAAGTGAAGAGGCACCTTATATATGAATTTGATGGACCAATGAAATTATCCATAAACACTCTCCACATTCTGTTACTAAGAGAACTATGAAGTGTTACTTTCACTTCTAAAGGAACAATTCCCTGCTCTCTGTGACTCAGAGGAATCAAGAGAACAAATTAGATAAGTTTTTTTTTTTTTGTTTTAACATAATATTTTAAAAATATTATTTTAAATACTTGAATAAACTTCAGGTTCTCACACTATTATAATGAACAAATTGGGTCAAAAAACAATGATACTGTCAATAGTAGCTCTTAAATATAAACCAATTGTTGCTTTGATGGGTAGAACTACTGTAATGATAGACAGTAGGCAAAGTTTTGCAGGAACAAATAGAAGAACACTATTATACTTGAAGTGGATGAATGGGATCTACTTCCAAATCAGGTGAAGAATTTTCTTATCTTGGCTACCACAGGACACTGCTCACTGGTCAAGATGCCTACTTGCCCTCAGCTCCTAAAAAGTTAAAGAACTTTTAGAATACAATTTAAATAATAGTCTTACTTAATTTTTTTTATTACATTATTGTATTTTTTTTTAAATAAAAAAATTTAGAAAATTTAGTAATGATATATCTACAAGAATTAATCAAATGAAACCTGTTCAAATAAATTTATTAAGACAAACAAAACAGTATATCTGTTGGTTGGCATAATTAAACAAAGCAATATATGAGGAAGCTGAAATGCACTTTTGTTCATTAAAAAAGTCACCATAGGCATTTAGATATGCATTCACTGCTTGGGAAGACAACAAATACCATCTATGAAGAACGATGTTGGTTGGTCCTTGAACCATTGGGTGACTGCTTCCTTGACTCACATGGTGACATATTGGTGCTGTAGGAAGGATGGTTCAGAACCTCCTAACCATTACATGCTAAAGTATCCTGCAAAGTGTTTGCAACATGCGGTCAAGCATTGTCATGCAATAAAATCATATAATGTGATAACATGCCAGGTCGCTTATTCTCTATGGCTTTATATAGCTTGTCCAATGTTGCATTGGACATACATACATGAAAGACATCAGCCAAACACAAAGTGTTTAGCTGGCAGAAAAGAAGGTAAGGGAAAGGGGGGAGAAGGAGGGAAAGGAGCTAGACAGTAGAGAAAGGTAGGACCCCTCTGAACAGCGTACATATAGCTACTGTACTCTTTACATTTGATGTTGGCATGCAGTTTTTAGGCTGTAAGGCCATAGTCCCCCAAAAGGTCTAAAAGAAAACCTGAGTGTAGCGAACACCAATAATTTAGTGCTGCCACAAATAGCTAAGTGTAGCCAAGTGGCTGTTAGTAGGAAGATTTATATCTACTTAATACTAACAAAACTGAACATGAGTGCGAATCTCAATACTATTAACAGATAGACAGACAGTGTGAAAACAGTGAACACAACAACAAACTAGACAAGACGAACGGACTGACAGAAGACAAACGAGCAAGACCCCGATATTTTTATTATTTTTTTTTAAACATTAACTTACTCACTAACCTACTAAACTAACCTACCATAACCTAGGACAAACCTAACCAGATGACTAAAGGTAACAAACCCCTAATCTAATTTAACCTAAACCGGAAACCAAGCTGAGTTGCTAATCTAACTTACAACTATGACTAACTGAATAAGAAGACAGAAAATAAGAATTAAAATACAAAGTTGAAAGCAGCTATATACTGACAGTTGAAACAAAGCAAGGGAAAGCTAATTGCCATTTGTGCCCCTGGAGTGAGTGCTCACAAGAGCCCCACTAAGAGGTATGAATGTGAGTAGATGATGGAATGTTGTACGTGTGTGAATGAGTTGGTGTGGGTTGCAAGGCCAGTATAGCAGCTCTCATTAAGCTATTCCTAATATGATTGTAGCTATTGCAGTGAAAAATTGAATGAAGTGGTCTTTGGTCCTCCTGAATACCACAATCGCATTGTGGATTGTCCCCGAGGTTAAATTTATGCAAGTATTGCTTAAAGTTGCCGTGTCTTGTAAGTAGCTGAGTGAGGGTGTAACTAGGGTAAAAATGGTGAAGAATCACAGTAATTGGGGATGAAAGTGTAAGTGAGCCTGCCAGTGGTGTCATGGTCCCAGCTGTCTTCCCAGAGAATGAAGATTTGCTTTGTGAGGTTGGACCCTTGGTTGACTGATGAGAATATGGCTGTTGAACCAGGGCCAATCATTCGGTGACTTATTTCGCAAATAGGACCAGAGTGGCTGAGGAACGAAGTGCGAGATGATTTAATTGTGGCATTCCAAACCTAATTGACAGATCCCCGATCGTAGATTGTGGAAAGGAGAGAGAGATCAACAGCCAGAGAAAATTTTGATGATCACCTTACTTAAAGTTCAAAGCAGGAATGGCAGATGCTCCTGCAGAGAGGGTGGCAGCTGGGACAGCTGTGTCTTATCCGAGTCAGAAAATACAGATTAGATTAAAATTTATGGGGCCATCACTCGGAGAAGGGCATTACCCGACTTCCGAGGGAAAACTGCCCGGACAGGGGTGCGTGGCAATCACTCGACCCAAGTCGCGTCTCTGGTAACAGACCAGGGACAAATGGAGTTACAGGGGATCATCATTCAGACCAACTAAATAAAGGGATTTTGGGTAAAATTCTATAAAAGCCCGAGTTCCCAAGGACATGTGGAGGTTGAGATCGAGAATGCCAGTTCCAGAGACCTGGACCAGGATTATCAGAAAGGACCCACATCTCCGAAACCTAGGAAGGAAGGGACTAGGGATCTGACTTCCCAGTGACAACTCTATATCCCTCCAACGTCCAAGACTACATCAGAAATGAATTTTCTTCTATTTTTTTTGTATGTGTGATGACCTACAGCATCGAAAAGAACTATCCAGTGCGCTTTTCTTCTGCTTGGGACACCCTTTTACCAAAGCATCTCTCTTATTTAAACGCATTTACTTTTGTAAAGTCTGTCTCTATGTGAATCTCTGCGTCCAGTAACCACTACCCCCATATGTTTAAATATTTCTTGCGTCATCCTGACAGATCGCAGGAAGAACGAGGGTCAATAGACTTATCACTTAAAGCGAGACCCTGGGCGAGTGGCATCAGGGTCTCGCTGGATCCTTACAGCTTCTTGACACGATTGTTGGTGTATGAGGTAGGAATGTAACTGATAGTACTGTACTGGTGACTGAAGACTTTGCAGCTTGTTTGACAAGATGGTCAGCGGTCTCATTGCCGAGAACTCCTGGATAACCTCGGACCCATTGGAAATCTATCCTAATGTTGATATCTAAGTGTCTGAGAATGTGGTGTATGAGATGGATGAGTTTTAAGCTGGTATCAGACTTCGCAATCCTGTGTAAAGCTACCCTACTGTCAAAATAAATGCGATAGTGTAAGTAGTGTCTTTTGTTCTTCCTACGCCTAATGTGAATTAAGCTCATATAAATAGCTAAAGTTTCTTCCTGTGCTATTGAGCAGTGTGTACCTAGATGGAAGGAAGCATTGTGAAGCTTGCAGCCTAAGTCAGAGTAAACTACAAAAGTGGCACCCACTTTATCACCCATCTTGGAACAGTCAGTGTAAATCCTAAACATGGGATGATCACCTGAATCTTCAAAGTAAAAGTCAGGGGCAAGCTGATGGGAGGAGTGGTAATCATAAGTCAGGAGGGTATTTTTGTCGATGCTGAATTTTTTTATATCATCGATCGAGGTCAAACTAGAGGGAATCTTGCTTACTCTAATCATTTGTCGACATTCGAATCACTATAATCTTGCTAGGATAAGGTGACGAGATTTTCTTGCCAAATAATGGATTTAATTTCTAAGTTCTTAGGGGTCAACCAACATTACCAAAAGGTTGCCTTGTAGCAGTTGGCATTGATGCTCACATGAGGGTCTTAAAATCCACACACAATGTCAAAAAATGCAGTCATCATAACTTTACATGTGGAGGCCTGTGACTTGAATTTTTTTTTTGGTGAGCTGGAGGTTTCCATTGCATATGCGCTAATCTACTGGTTAGCTCAAAGTGGTGGCACCACGTTTCAATCTTGAACAGATTCCAAATAATTCAGGCTTGTTTTCACTATTCTATGCTAAAAAGAAAGCATGTGAGGCAACTGATCTTCTTCCCACTTGTTCATCAGTGTATGCTTATCATGCCATATGACGTTATTCCCCTCTCCTTATGCCAGACCATGTGACATGGCACAAACAGATTTCTTTTGATCAATCCTAATATTCATTAATTAATATATATGCCTATCAACTGAAAATTTATTAACAAGTTTAATTTTAATGTTTAATCCAAAAGAATTCTCTAAGTTTCTAAAATTATTGTTGTTTTATTTACTTATTATAAAATGTAACTATATGTTTTTATAGCTGCTGATATACATTTTNACAAAGGTAATACAATTTTTTTCAATACAAGTTTAGTAATACAGTAGTTCTATAAAAATGTTTGCCAGTTAGTTATTTTAGCTTTTAAGTCTTCTCATTAATTAATATATATGCCTATCAACTGAAAATTTATTAACAAGTTTAATTTTAATGTTTAATCCAAAAGAATTCTCTAAGTTTCTAAAATTATTGTTGTTTTATTTACTTATTATAAAATGTAACTATATGTTTTTATAGCTGCTGATATACATTTTATTTATAGTTCTTCTGTGAAGAAGATTCAGGCGATTACATCCATCGAGTAGATGAACCAGGAACATGTAGTTATTTGATAACTGTTCACACTTCTCGGATATGTAACCATCCCTATCTGAAACCCCTTCCTTCTAATAAACCGCAAGTCATATCTTGTAGTCCTTTATTAGATAGTGAGCAGTATCAAATTTATATAGAAAAAGTAGAAGGTAAACTTTTAACTGTATCACTTAATATTTTTGTGTTCAACTTTTTCTAACTTTAATAGTGATTTTAGAGGATAAAAGAAAAGCAGAGGAGAAGAGAAAAGTATGGTTAGCTGAACAACAAGAACGTCTAAAGAAACTAAAAACTTGGGCTCAGCAACAGAGATTGAAATTGGGAGAAGAGGAAAAAACAGAAGAAGAAACTAAGAAATCAGAACTGACAGAAGTGCAGACAGATACCATTGTAGACGATGATGACAAATGTAATATATACAATTTAATGTTAAAAATATATGTTCTTAAGACAGACAACATATTTTATTATTTTCTATTGAATTTTAGCACAAGCAGAAATTACAAAAGCAGATAAAAATTTAGAAAGTTCACAGAAAGATGAAGACGAATCTGTTGTCGAAATAACAAATGTGGACAAAGATGACGATGAAGATATTTTAGAAGAATTTGAAAAAGGTTAGAATTTAAATTATTTAATACACAAATATTCTTAATGATTATATTTAAAAAATTTGTTTTATATACAAGCACTTCTCAATTTATATACAAATTTACTTTTAGAGAGAATTTGTTTATTGTGTTTTAAACATCTTTAATTACTTCAGAAAATAGAAACAATTAACATAATTAAAAGAATAATATAAAGTAGTGATAAATCCATAATAGGTTTATTATGAATTAACAGTTTAATATATTAATAAATTAATTAATAATAAAATTATTTATTATGAATTAGTGCCAACAAAAATAGAATAATATTGCAGGATTTTTTTTCTGCTGATATTTTTATTGGCAGTTATTTGTAATTTTTGCTTAAACATGTAAAAAAAGCTGATTGTCTTAACTTTGCTATTATAAGTTGAACAAGTTAACAGGTAATTTTTTATCAGTTCTGAACAAATCTAATCCAAAAATAATTAACATAACTACATAAACACTACATAAAAACTACAGAATTTGGAATTGTTTTAAAACAGCAAGATTTGCTGTTTAACTCTCTTCCCAACAGAAGATTGTCTTAAGTATGACTGATTACACATAATTCTAATTATAAAATGTTTTAAAAATCTGAATATACTCAGTCAGAAGGAAAATATAAAACATAATTTAAAAATAATGAAATTAGTTGGTTTTCCTAAGTTAAGAAAATTTTATCATCAGAAACATTAAAATCTCTACTTATCAAAATAAAAATTAAATTGTGTATTTAAAAAACAAACTTTGTTTAAAAATGATATGGGATATAAAATGCTGCAAATGAATATGATGTGAGAGTGAAAAGTTTAAAAAAATAATATTAATTACTAGAGGTTTGTAGTCTTTTGTGAGTCTACAACACAAAGATACTGTTACATATGATTGTGTATACAACAAAAACACTCTTGTGAGTTTGCAACTAAGAGACTATTTCATTCTGTTGTGACATTTTTCTAAAACAGTCAAATTAAATTATTGTGAAAGCTAGAAATATTATTTCAATTATCTGAATTGATGACAACCTTTTGCACTTTTCCAGCAGTAAAGCATTTAATGTCCAAAATACAAATGTTTTTGGCCTCGTTTAGAGCCAAAAACATTTTCAGGTGTATATTAAAGATATTGATTTGAAAGCCAAAGATTCTTAATTCTTGAATTTTTTAAAATATGTTCTTTTATGTCATGTGTTTTAAATGACACACACCTTGAGACTACTTGTTTTCAGCAATCCTCTGAGACAAGGTTCTGTTAATAGATCCTATATAAGTTAGATTGTCAAATCTGCTGTCGTAGAAGGATATGAAGTACACTCCTGGAGCTCTATTTATGTTATATTTATCTTTTCCATTGGACAACAATCTAAAGATGGTTGGGCTACATTTCATTATTATTGAGTATTTTGCTACCTGTTTCATTCTATCTTAAATTCTATGTATAATGTCCACCAAAAGCTGTTTTTTTTTCCTCTTGTTGACAAGTCTATGTCTTGTTTATAAAATTGTACTGCCTGATTTTCTTACCAGCATAGACGTATGAAGGAGTACATGTCGAGAGTTGATATTTTGCACATAGTATTAGGTGCCCAAATCATGCGTGCATAAAAAAGAACCAGACTTGTAGGTACTCGGGGGACCGAGAACAGAGTCAAAATAAAATACAAAATGGCGACTCTCTCTGCAAACAGGCAAACCAAAGTCAAGTGGTGAGAGTACCACCCATAGTCATTCTAGGAAGTGGACTCTGACCCAAGGACTGAACACGTAGTATTTTCTTTGTTAAATAAAATTTGTAATCTAATTTTGTAAATTTGGGAGTGCTTCAAATATGACATTAAAACAAGGTTTTATGTCATTACGAGTAGATTTTTTAACATTATCTAGTATAGTAAAATCACGGGACTGGTAAAAATTTGACGTTATATTAGGGCTGTTGTTACATCTGATGATGTTATAATCAGGTTAAACTGTATATTGTTTGTGCAAAATAAAAAATAATTTTGGATGTTACAATAACCACAATTATTTTGAAAACGGGAAATTTTCTTTACGCATTGACAAAAATTCAACCTGGACCAACACGCAGCGGAGTGAAATTTTGAAATTGGATACGTTAATTTCATCAAAAATGAATCGTGGACAACCTTGTGGTTGTGGCCTGCGAAATTTGAACGATTGCGCCCAAAAGCAGCGATACTAAAGAAGATTGGAGAATGAGAATGAGACCCACTTTGAGCGTAAAGGTGATTCTGCTTAGTAGTGAGTCTCCAAGACATAGTCTTGTCCCAAATATGGTTTTGCCATTTTACTTGTTTATGCTTGTGTTCTGTCTGTTGAAATGCCTTTAGGAAGTTAACCACTGAGGTACGAACAAGTTTTTTGCTATAGCTGTGAATTTGTGCTATGTGATTGACATGTTCTAATTCTTTGTTAGTGTCATTTATGTTCAAACGATGTATAAAGGACATTTTTACTACCTCATTAGATTATTGTCTAATGCAAATAATAAATATAACATTGAGCTCCAGGGGTGTAATCAATACTCCTGTATAACAGTAGATTTGACAATAATTAACTTTCATAGGGTCTACTAACAGAGCCTTGTCTCAGTAGATTGCCAAACATAACTATGAATCTCAAAAAATAAAGCAGGAATGATACTTGCACAGTATGCAAATGAGCCCAGGGTGTTGGTAAGCTGGAAGAATGCAAAATTAATCAAGAAAATTTTGGTACCGAAAAGCTTAGATCAATGGAGGCTTGGGAAATACAGGGTGTCCATAAAGTCCATGTACAATTTTAAAAATTTAATCTATATTTTTTTTATTGTATTTTATTAAGTTTCCATATGTCTACCATCATTAATAATACAAAGGTAATACAATTTTTTTCAATACAAGTTTAGTAATACAGTAGTTCTATAAAAATGTTTGCCAGTTAGTTATTTTAGCTTTTAAGTCTTCTAATGATTGTGGTTTTGTTGCATACACTATTCTTATCACATGTCCCCGTAAAAAAAATCTAATGGAGTCAAGTCTGGTGAACGTGGAGGCCAAGATAATGGTCCACCTCTTCCAATCTCTAAAAACATTTGTTACTAAATAATCTTACATCACTGGTTCTCAATCTTCCTAAAGCCACGACCCTTTAATACAGTTCCTCATGTTGTGGTGACCCCTAACCATAAAATTATTTTTGTTGCTATTTCATAACTGTAATTTTGCTAATGTTATGAATCGTAATGTAAACATCTGATATGCAGGATGTACTTTTATTGAACATAATTAAAGCATAGTGATTAATCACAAAAACAATATGTACAGTAGAACCTCGATTATCCGGACTAATTGGGGATGAAGATAGTCCGGATAAGGAAAAATCCGGATAATCGAAACAAATACTTTGTCTTTTAATGATAATACAACACGTTTTCTTTTCGATGACATATCGGTAATATTAAAAGTAAATACTGTATTTAAATCGTGATCAAATTTTCAAGAAACAAACGTTCGTATTGAATTTGGACTACTACTGACCAACGCTAACAGACTACCTATTGTTTAAAAGGCCTCTGGTGGAGCAAGAAGAAGGATTTTATAAAATAAAAAGCAGTTGAAACTGCATTTTTATGAATAAAAATTTGACAAACTATTTATCGTTTTATGACGAGTAAAATTTTTTCTTCGCGTTCGCGGATTTTAAGTAATGCATAAACCTTCGAGGCGCGAGGCCCTTTGGACCGCAAGGCGTAGGCGGTGGCCCACGTCGTCCGTGCCTTACGCCGCCCTTGGTCATAGAAATGACGTAATTTGAATATAAATTATTTATAAATACGTATGTCGAGTTATATTTTTATTACTACGTAAAATATATTTAATAAGAGTTTATGACCACTGTGCCGGGTGAGACGTTGTTGAAACAAAAAAGTTATGCATTCCATCACGTACATAAACAGTATTGTAATTCGCCAAGTGCAAATCAGCAAATTCGTAAAATTTTTGTTAATTTTGAACAATCCGGATAATCGAAAATCCAGATAATAGAGGTTCTACTGTAATTATATATTGTGAAATATTTATTTCTAATTACGAATAAATGAAATTTTGTTTTGAAGCATGGTGTAGTATGGGTAACAGTCTTAATATAATAATAGTAAACTACATTGCTACATTTTGAGATAGTATGTGTAAAAAGCCAACATCAGTGCGAAGGTTGAGATTGCTTCTTTCTCACCAGATCAGAAATTCTTGGGACAGTCTTTGCAAGAGCACAATGAAGATCATCTGGCACAACAAATTTACTTCTGTATTTATACTTGATAACCAACAAGCTGGAAAACCCTGTTTCACAAAGATAAGTTGTTGGAGATGGAAGAAGGTACAACACAGTCTCAGACAGAACAGGATATGACTTCAAACACTTGATCTAGAATTTTGTAACTGGCATTGTAGAGAAATCAGTTCTTGCTGCATCGCTGTTAATAAGTTCATTGAACTCCTCTTGTTAACATTAAAAGTGCTCAGCAAGTAAACACATAAATTAAAAGACCTTAATTTGTTGCTGAGAAATATATTTTTTAAAAACAAACGTTTTCAACCTGATTAACAGGACATCCTCAGGTCTAAAAAAATGAAAATGGAACAGATACATTCCATGTATAGAATATAAATATTTAAATCAAAATTTAGAACAAAAATTTTTAAAAATATACAAGAGAAACGGAAGCAAATATAAAATTAACACAAAATAAAATTAAAATATACAAGAGAATATATAAAAATAACACAAAATAAACTAAAAAATAAAAAATATAATAAATCTTCCAATAAACTAATTCTAGCTTGAGTTTTCAGTGAACTTTTTAATCATGTATTTCCACGCCGACGACANTAAATTTAACTCATTCAAGATAGGAAAGATGTCAACCAAGTAAGATATTTTCTGCAGTTCACTTTTATTACTGAAAAGTGCTTTAAACTGCAG